TGCGAGGGACACGGTCGAATGCCTTCTCCAGATCCACGCAGCACATGTGGACTGGTTGGGCAAACTCCCATGAACCCTCCGCCACCCTGAAGAGGGTATAGAGCTGGTCCAGTGTTCCACGGCCAGGACGAAAACCGCATTGTTCCTCCTGAATCCGAGGTTCGACTATCGGTCGAATTCTCCTCTCCAGTACCCTGGCATAGACTTTCCCGGGGAGGCTGAGGAGTGTGATCCCCCTATAGTTGGAACACACCCTCCGGTCCCCCTTCTTAAAAAGAGGGACCACCACCCCGGTCTGGCTTCTAGTACATTTTGATACAAATACTGTTGTACCTTTACTGAAGTAACACTTTGAATGCAGGACTTTTACTTGTAACAGTATTTCTACTATGTGGTATTTGTACCTTTAATGCAGTACAGGCAGTACAGGACCTGAGTACTTCTGCAACCACTGGTGGGTAAAGTAAATATTACGAAACCTCAAATGCTAAATATGAAACAAATCATTTGCATGGTTTAGGTATTTAAAGGCTATAAACTAGTAGCTATGTTCACGTGCACAATCAAACTTGCTGGTTTTGACCAGGCCTGTTACTGCAAATGTAGGCAACGTCTCAGTGTTTAAAAGCAGTCATAGCAGCTTAAAAGTGACCCATTTTCATAATGCTAGCTTTTTTTAACAAAATACCAATGAAAAAAAGTATTAAGACTGTGTATATTCTGAGTGTTTCTGCACAGTCACAGACTTGTACCACCCATACACATGCAGTACCGGGCTTCCATTTCTACCTGTCAGATGCTTCGAACCATTTTCAACACAACTGCTTCAAATTGAGTCGGTGCCTCAGAAAGCTTCCCTAACTTCAGCCCCTGTGTGACAACGGGGCTATGGCTTTAATTGTGGATCACAAATATTTTCTTAATCCGCCACTACGTTTAAACAGATTCCCTTCCTTCCAGACAGTCATTACTTTAGGTTTATTTCAATGGAAATTATCAAAAACTTAGAAAAATGCATTGTATTTCTGTATATACTGTACATGAATATTTGGTCAAGTATCATTAGTATCAGAAAAATGACATGTCTACATAAGCATAAACTGTAGTCATTTAACACCAGCAGCAAATCAGTGTAGTGACTAGACACAGGCAATGAAACCACATTTTGGCTCAGCTACTGTGAAAAGCAGCAGACAGCTGACACCCGTCCACCCTCCTCAGGTGGAGATGGTGTTCTGGCTGCTCTCCATGCTCGCCAACAGAGACAAGGAGGAGATGTCCCGGACTCTGCTGGCTCTGTCCAGCTCTCAGGATAGCTGCATTGCCATGAGAAAGTCAGGCTGCGTCCCCTTGCTGGTCCAAATCCTGCACGAAGCTCCAGGGGGTGGAGGCGGGTCCGGGGAGGCGGCAGCAGGCTGTAGCCGAGAGGCCAGGTCCCGAGCCAGCGCCGCGCTCCACAACATCATCTACTCCCAGCAGGACGAGGGCCAGGCCCGCAGGGAGATGAGGGTCCTGCACATGCTGGAGCAGATCCGGACCTACTGCGACAGTGGTTGGGACTGGATCGAGAGCCACGCTGGGACACCGTCACCCGGAGGAACCAAGACCAGCAGTGAGTCCAGTTCCCTCTGAACCTGACAAACCAAAGCCAGTGAAGGGCTCCAAGATTCATCTGACCCATGTTGTAGTTTACACCAAGTATTTCTATTAATCAAACTCACAGGACAGTATTTTATAGTGTGTGTATAGTGACTGTACCAGACGTCAGCAGAACCAGATCAAATAGAACCTCCAGAAAACCTACTGCTTTGGAGAAGCAGTCCCCCTGTGAATATCATATTTTTAGCATGACATTCACAACTGGACATCTCTCTGAGGACTGCCAAGGCAGCAGGCAGAAGGTTTATTAACAGTTTCACAGAATTATAGAAGGAACCCGAGTTCACTACAGCTGACAGCTGCAGACTTAGACTTTAATTAGATACAACTTATTCATTATCTACGTTAGAAATAAAATTGGCTTCTAAAAAAATTGGGTTTGGTCATTACACTGTTTTAGTCTGTTCCTGTGAAACTGTAGCATCAGATTGAAAAAAACTTAGAAAATATCAAGTGGACTAGATTTCTAGGTCGAAGATGTGGTGTTTCAGTCCTTTGATGGCCATTGTTAAGGGACATTGTTGGCCTTCAAAGGACTGAAACACCAACGAGGGAGATAAATATCTCCGGCTCAACACCAGTCAGTCAGAACTGATGAAGCCTCTTGGATGAGAGGTGAAACATCTTCGACCTAGAAAGTTTTTTTCAGTTTACTATGACCTGGATGACTGAGAATCTGCACAAACATGTAGCATCAGATTCTGTCTTTACAACTAAAAGATGATCACTCGCTCATTGTAAACCAGTCTGGAATTTCCTTTCAATGCAGCGCAGAGAACAGTGCACAGTGTCAGCAGCACTGACTCGGTTAATGATCAGAACCATGACTGCTTCTCTCTGTAGACATCCCTGAACCTGTGGACCCTCAGATCTGCCAGGCCATGTGTGCCATCATGAAGCTTTCCTTTGAAGAGGAGTACCGACGGGCCATGAATGAATTAGGTTTGTGCAGCGCTGACTCTTTCTCCCCATAACATCAAACCAAGTGTTTTGCTCTTGCTGATGGTTTGGTGTGGTCTTGCAGGTGGTTTGCAGGTGGTAGCTGATCTGATCCACTTGGACCAGGACATGTATGGCACACACAACGATCCCATCAACATGGCTCTACGCCGCTACGCTGGGATGGCTCTGACTAACCTCACCTTCGGGGATGTCGTCAACAAGGTAAAGACAGACCAGGAGCTGTGCTGGTTTCATCAGTCCTGCAGGGATCAGGGAGGAAAACATCCAGGCGTTTGGATAAAGCAGTGCTTCATGTTCAACCTGTGACTATCCCAGCTAGCTGCTAAAAACCAGGAGCACAGGGTGAAGAGGGCAAGTCGCCTTAAGAACCAGTGTAGGACCGCCCCCTGAAAGTCGACTAGTCCAATCATTAGTCACCAGACCTGTCAGTCAACTGAGACTCTTAGTCGAGCCTTTGTTTTTATTGTATTTTATCTTCTGTCAGCCAGCGTCCGTTACACTAGAAACAGCCCCAGTCGTAGTTTGTTGTTGTCTTCCCCCCTGTGTTAGGGTACAAACCTCACCACATAAAGGTGAGATTTCTGCTTTATTAAAAGTGTTTTCCAACGTTGTGGTCCACTTTTACAAGAGAAAAGACTGTTGCAACCATGTGGCTGGTTTGGCAAAATGGCACAAGGGTCTGGTTTGTTTATCAAAAGCACAGTAACAACATTTGCTGTGGTTAACTGACAGGAGAAGCTCAAACTTGTTGGCAATCGCGGCTATAACCTCATCTCAGAAGAAAAACCTGCCTATAAGAGCATCATTTCAGCAGAAACCCAAGTGTGCTGCCTGTCTCGTTATTCCGACAAATCCATAGGCAGCTTGACGTTAGATACTGTCAATTTAAGAAGGTCACAGTTTAACTATTGCATCATATGCAGCTGTCTTTGCTTGATTTTTAAATGTGCAGAACTTTGTTCCTGTCACTCTTTTGCATTTAAATACTGATGTTAAATTGAAATCAGTGAAATTCATGCCAGTTCATTTTCTGACAGAACCCTTAGTCGGGTAATGCCCTACTCCAGGGCTGAAACAATTGGTCAAAAAATTCATTTCTTCAGCAAAAACCCAGACCATTCAGCTGGTGCTGCCTCCTGCACTGTGTCACTGCAGCCTGAACAAACCAAACAGCTGAGGATGGGCGGGCAACATTTTACAGCTCACACAACATTAGAGGAAGAGTTTATAGAGGACCCGATTCCACTTTCGGGTGCAAAGGACATTTATTATGGTTGTGTTTTACTGTAGTATTTGTAATGTAGTGCAGGACAACTGAGGCATTCAGAGACGTAACCTGGTGACAAACCCGGCAGTGCTTTAAAAGCACAGAGCATTCAGATGTGTTAAGCATGAGCTTCCTCCCCAGACCAACACTGTTCGCCCTCTCACAGGCCACGCTGTGCTCAAAGAAGAACTGCCTCCAGGCTCTGGTGGCCCAGCTGACCTCTGACAGCGAGGAGCTGCACCAGGTGGTCTCCAGCATCCTGAGGAATCTGTCATGGAGGGCCGACATCAGCAGCAAGAGAGTCCTCCGAGACATCGGCTGTGTGTCTGCGCTGATGACCTGTGCCCTGCAGGCTACTAAGGTAATGCACCCAACCCACACAGAGGGCGCGGCAACAGGAGAAAAGCAGGTTTTGGCAGGTAGTGTTAAGATCTGTAACCTGTGGAGGCCTCACTGGATCTGAAATGTCTGGCTGCTTGAAGCATTTTAAGATTTCTCTGCAAGAAATAGGTTGTTTTTTTTTTATCACGTTTTTATCTGAGGGATTGAAGAACTGCTTTAAAGCGCAGTGTGACATTTTGGGGACATCAGATGTTCAGACTATTAGCTTTGTCCAAAGCAAAAAACAAAACCCACCTACCAGCTCCTCTGAGCTCACACATCGATATATCCCATTTAAAAAAAAATCTAAGTATAAAAGGAGTTTACAGTTTTACAGGTGATGTGTTTTTTTTACATTTCACCTTTTGAATAGGTTAAAGGAGATATACGTGTATTTCCCAAACTGTTGAGCTGCTCCTTTGAAAGACCAAACGAGCATGTTTGGTCTTTAACCTACCCTGTCATCAGATTTGCTGCACTGTTCTCAGCCGTAGCTTTCCATTGATTAATGATATAAAAATCAAGCAGCACATGTCTGCAGTGAAACTAAAATCTGGATTCATTTTCCTCAGGACTACACAACCTCATGTAGCTTCAGGAATCTGCTAACTGACGGTGAATGAGACTGCTACAGGCTGATCGGCAGAGAAATTTATTTTTCAAAGTACACCAGAGTTGTAGTATTTGAGCTAAAACACAGAGAATGGCTGAAGGCGCTCAAGGTGAAACCATGGAACTCGCTTCTCCACTTCCTCTGTCCAGTCCAGCGTCGTTACTCACCATATACTGAGTGGATTTGATGCATGTTTTCAAGTAGCCCAAATAAAACCTGTTTGTTTGCTGGTTTCCAGGAGTCGACCCTGAAGAGCCTTCTGAGCGCCCTGTGGAACCTGTCGGCTCACAGCATCGACAACAAGGTGGCCATCTGCTCGGTGAACGGCGCTCTTGGCTTCCTGGTCAGCACACTGACGTACCGCTGTCAGACCAACTCACTCGCCATCATCGAGAGCGGAGGAGGGATCCTCCGAAACGTGTCGAGTCTGGTCGCCACACGGGAAGACTACAGGTGGGTTTCTGAGAATCAAACACCAGCAGTCACTTTAGCAAAGACATGGTTTCTGAGCAGGAGCATTAATACTTAACCTTAGAAAATGTAGTTTGACAAACCCAGCCTGTCGGCCGAGGACCTCTGTAAAAATGCAGCTCAGTGTCTGAAGAAAACCCAGTAAGTTGAGGTTATTTTGGTCACTAGCATCCTCTGTTTCCTCTTTTAATGCCACAAAATTAGAAGAGAGTCTGTGCCTTTCTTAACAAACATGAACAACCTCATTGAAGTGAAACTGACATCGATTTAAATGAGATTTTCTTCACTGATACCACAGATATTAAACTACAGTTGTCTGAATTCAAGTTACAACATGGAATATTTTTAAGTGATTAAGCATTTTCGCCAGAATTTATGCTTAGTGAAAATAAAATAATGTTGCATGATGTTGCACATTTTAGCCCATTTATTGCTCCCAATTTATTTCTGATCATTTTAAGGGCATCAGATTTTTTTTTAACCTCACATGCAGCTTTTGGTCTCAATTTCTCTCTGCATGCTATTAAAACCTATTTGTAAGGAACTAATTTGACTGATAGATAATCCATCACAGTGAATACACAGTGACCAATTCATTCTGGCCAGAGTTAAGTTAGTTGCTTGTCAGACAATGCAGATTTTTCAACTACACATACAACAGTATTACAAAGTAACTATGAAGTAATGTTAACAGTGTAATCAGATACGATGTTCACTATTAGATAACTGGAGCCAATTAAGCTCTGCAAGTTGGTATATACAATAAATGAATGAATAGAACCCAACAGATGTATGGAAGGGGAAAAACTTGAAAGAAAATACAATAGCATGCTGTGGAACATGGCCAGCACAGATACAAAGTGTCTGTGATTTGTAGTAAAATGGGCTAAAATGTAAAACCACTCGTACCTGCCATTAACAACTACACCAAGCAGTGATTATCTGTAGCTGCAGGTACAGTTACTGAAATGCCTTTGCTTTCTTTTCTCTCAGACAAATCCTCAGGGACCACAACTGCCTCCAGACCCTGCTGCAGCACCTGCGCTCCCACAGCCTGACCATAGTGAGCAACGCCTGCGGGACACTCTGGAACCTTTCAGCTCGAAGTCCAAAAGACCAGGAGCTGCTGTGGGATCTCGGGGCAGTTAGCATGCTGCGCAACCTCATCCACTCCAAGCACAAGATGATAGCCATGGGCAGTGCCGCAGCTTTAAGGAACCTCCTGACCAACCGACCCCTGAAATATAAGGATACTGCAGTTGTATCTCCTGGCTCCTGCATGCCCTCGCTCTACATGAGGAAACAGAAGGCTCTGGAGGCAGAGCTGGATGCCAAGCATCTAGCAGAGACTTTTGACACTCTTGAGAAACGGAGCCCCAAACACCTAACCCTCCACAAGCCACTACGACACATTGAGAGTCTGGCTAAGGATTATGCATCAGATTCTGGATGTTTCGATGATGATGAGGGCCCCAATATCTCCAGTAGCCTGGACACTGGCAGCTTCTCTATGCTGTCCATGTTTCTTACCAACTCTAACTTCCTGCAAAACCAGCCACGTAAGAGGGACAGTGAACCTGAGAGAGACATAGAGCCGCCTCAGATGGTCACAAAGAGACATGCACCTCCCGATGATGTGGTATCTGCTGCAGCAGAGAAGCTAGCAAAAAAGATCACCAACACAGTTGCCAAGATCGACAGGTTAGTGGAAGACATCACCATGCACACATCCTCTGAAGACAGTTTGAGCCTCAGCTCTGAGGACCACCTGGCAGACTGGCCTTATGTAATGGATGAATTCACTGAAGCCAGGGCAAAATCATGCTCTCCCTGCCGTCTCTCTGATACAAGCAGCTTGGCTCACAGAGAACGCCTCAGTAGAGCCCACGCCCTCCTACGCCTCAAAACCACCCACTCAAGTGTATCAACAGACAGCCTGAACAGCGGCAGCACCAGCGATGGCTACTGCGGCAGCAAAGACCAGATGCAACCTGCTCAAAGAGTTCAAATGGTGCAGCAACGACGACCAAACCAGCTCAATCTCAAGGTGGCCCATGAAGATTACAACGTAGCACCTGCTGTCCTGAATGAGACTAGCCAGCAAGACATACCAGAGAGAGATTCTGTGGACAACAAAGATGTGAAACCTCCAGAGGTCAGCAACACAGATGCAGAAAAGAACCAGGAACAACCTGTTCAAACACCTGTCAGTGCGTCTACTAAAGTCTCCTCTGATGTCAGCATGACTTCAGTTAAACTGTCTCCTTCCTATCAACAGGTCCCACCTATACAGAGTGTGGCCAGATTTGGTGCAGCAAAGACGCCTATCAATGTCCAGGCTGCTCAGGCAATGAAGAGGCAAGCATGGGTACCTACTGTGATGACTGGGGGAAATATTACTAAATTTTCTCCAATGACATCCACCAGAAGCCCAACAATGGGGACAATGGAGACGGTCCAGAAATACTCTGTGGAGAACACCCCAATCTGCTTCTCCCGATGCAGTTCACTGTCCTCCCTCTCTTCTGGAGACGGAGCACTGGATGGACAAAGTGAAAATGAACTGGAGAGCGACTCCTCATTAGAAATAATTGAAGTGGAGGATGGAGAAGTGGTGAAGAGGGCTGAAGAGGATGAAACCTTGGAGGATCTGAGTGACAGCCAGCTGCTGATGACTGACTCCAAGACCTTCCCCAGCAAAGAGACAGATCCCATTGAGATGGCCTGTCCTTCCAAAAGGGAGAAAGTGTTTCTCAGAGGAGCCTCACCAGCCATACTTGAAGACAGATCTCCATCCAGTTCTTCTGAGAATTACATCCACGAGACGCCCCTCGTAATGAGTCGCTGTAGCTCAGTCAGTTCACTGGGCAGCTTTGAGTCTCCCTCTATTGCCAGCTCAATCCAAAGTGATCCATGTAGTGAGATGATTGATGGAACAATAAGTCCAAGTGATCTACCCGACAGCCCAGGACAAACCATGCCTCCTAGCCGAAGTAAAACTCCATGTTGTGTTGAGTCAAATGGACCAGAGGCACAGGCCACAGGAGTATCTGGACAGTGGGAAAGCAGCCTTCGAAAGTTCATGGAAATCACAGACCCGAAGGAGAGGTTTAACCTTCCTCCTGACCTGGACACCATGATCTACTTCACTGTGGAAAAGCCCACTGAGAACTTCTCCTGTGCTTCAAGCTTAAGTGCTCTGCCACTTCACGAACACTATATACAGAAAGATGTGGAGCTCAAACTAACCCCACTACTACAGCAAAATGACAAAAACGCACCTTTCCCACATGAGGATGAGCAAGGACTCGACCAAGGGGAGAGATATAGTGAGGGCAACTCGGATGATGACATAGAAATCTTAAAGGAATGCATCAATTCTGCAATGCCCTCAAAGTTTAGAAAAGTAGCACCTTCCCTGATAACCACAATCCCTCCTCATATTCTCAGTTCTCAGATCCGAAAACCAATACATCTTCCAGTGTACATGATGCTCCCAAATGGCAAAACCCAGATGTATCCTGGAAGAAGAATTGTCATCCCCCAGAAGGACATCAAATTAGATGATTCTTCCTTCACTGACTCTGCAGAAGGTACACCTGTTAACTTCTCCAGCACAACATCGTTAAGTGATGACACACTTCAGTATCCGGTTAAGGAGAGGGGAGCTAAAGACTGCACAGCTAAAGGTATGAACAAACAGGAAGTGCTTGATGATGAGGCAAAGAGGATTGAAGACTTGAGGATATTCTCACACTTCCACAAACCCAACAAGATGAACTACCAACCTGAGATACAAATGAGCCGAACAACCAAACATGTCGTTCCCACACAGAGGGTGCTGATGCAGAGCAAAGAGGTAACCGACAGAGTAGCAAGCCAAAGAAATCGTGATCAGTCTCCTAACCAACAGAAGAGGAGGCACGGTCAAGGCCCAGTCAGAAAATTGGAGCTACCTGTCATAAAGCAAAACACAGAAGGTAACAATGTGGGATCACAAAAAGAAAACACAATCTGTCGACAAATGACACATTCTTCAGATGACAGCAATGGTTTTTATGGGGAGGAAGATGAAAAAGACGAAGCAATGAAACAAACAAGTAGAAAACAGATCAGAGAAGCAAGTAGAAATACTCTCTCCCGGAGCATGACAAATATTGGCAGGAGTGATAACTCCCAAGCAAAGCCAAGAGGATTTCACAGGATAAAACAGAAGCTGATAAAGGATGACTCCCTGGCATGTTACTCACTCAGCTCCTCGCTTAGTTCACTGAGCGATGCTGAGTTTGAGAATCATCAGGCTAAAGCCCAGCAAATATGGTACAAAAACAGATACAACAAGACCCTGAATATGGTGCAACAAACCAAGCCTATGACTATTCACAGCCAATATGAAGAGCAAAGTTCACCAAGCTCCGTCAGCATAGATTCAGAGGATGACCTACTTCAGAAATGCATAACCTCTGCCATGCCCAAGCAGAGGAGGAAGCTTGCTGCCAGGAAGAAGAAAGCTGAAAATAGTCAAAAACAAAAGTCCTCTGATGGGTGGAACATGGATGAGGAAATGGATAGTGATGATATGGCATGGGATAAAGACTCAGACCTCAACAGTGTTGAATGGAGAGCCATACAGGAAGGTGCTAATTGTGTTGTCACTGGGCTGCAAGCATCAAAGTCTCAAGAACCATCTTCTGAAGAGACAGAATCAGTCCTGTCATTCATGTCAACATCCAGCTTTACACCCAAAGAACGAAAATTTGCTAAAGACAAAAAGGCAAATAAACCTCTAGACTTTGCACAGCGCAAGCCAGTTCCAAATTTTCCTGTGGTCTTCAGAGGCAGGACAGTGATCTATACACCAAAAAAAGAGACCGCTCCATCACAAAGACCTCCTCCCAGAAAGGTGCCAGCAAAAACAGATGCTCCAAAGAATCCAAACCTTGCCCAGCACAGATCAAAGAGCCTTCATAGACTAGGCCACCCCCAGGATACAGAACTGTCTTTGCCAAAAAGGAGCTCTACTCCACCTCCAAGGATACCAAAAAGTTCATCCTCTGGATCATCGCAAAACTCTACACCATCCAAACAGTCACAACAGAAGACAACATCCCTGACCCAGACAAATAAATCTGCTCAGAAAAAGAATGCCACTCCAGCCAGTAGCCCGCCAGCTAGCAGTCCACCTGCAAGAAAGGGAAAGGATACCAAAAAGTTCATCCTCTGGATCATCGCAAAACTCTACACCATCCAAACAGTCACAACAGAAGACAACATCCCTGACCCAGACAAATAAATCTGCTCAGAAAAAGAATGCCACTCCAGCCAGTAGCCCGCCAGCTAGCAGTCCACCTGAAAGAAAGGGACGCTCTACTGTTGTGAATCAAAATGAAAAATCCTCACCACCTAAAACTCAGAAGTCGCCTGTCCGAATACCTTTCATGCAGAATTCAGTAAGGCAGCCCCGACCTTTGTCACCACTGGTAACTAACCACACAACCACCAGACAAACCAATCAGGTCACTGGGAAAAAGGTGCTACCTGCTGATCGTTTTGACCTCGTCAGGATGACTTCTGTCCATTCAAGTGGCGGTGAGTCTGATCGCAGTGGATTCTTGAGACAGCTGACTTTCATTAAGGAATCAAAGAGTGCACTGAGACGTGATAGCTCTGCACGAAATATGCCCAGGTCTCAGAATGGATCTCCCTGCCGAGCAGTTCCTGGAGCTTCAGCTGTCTTCCTTTGCTCATCGCGCTGTCAGGAGCTTAAGGCAGTTGTGCAACCCCCGAAAATGGTGCAATTAAAGGCTGCAGGACAAGCACAGGAAGTCCAGGGGCCAGACCCTGGCCTTCAGAAACGGACTACAATCCTCTCTAGAGCAACCTCCAGTGAAAGGGACCTATCTTCAAGACGCCCGGCCAGGAGAACCAGCTCTGAAAGCCCCTGCAGGGTGGCTCAGCGAAACGGGCCTAGCAGAGTGGCTGGAGCCAGGCAAAAACAAGACAAAGAAACCTTTAAACGCCATGCCTCATCACCGAGCATCAACATACTGAGCCGAGTGACCAGCCGTTCTTCCCTCCGCTCTTCATCTTCTGATTCGAGTGGAAGAGCAAAGAGCGAGGATGATACCAAGAAGAAAGGGCAGAGATCCACAGCTCGGCTAAACAACAGAATCACCTGGAGGAGGATCAGAGATGAAGACGTACCTCAGATCTTGAAAAGCACTCTTCCAGCCAATGCATTACCTCTGGTGCCTTCTCCTGACGGGGAAAAGCCAAAACAACCAACTCTTCCAGGAAAACTGCCAACCATTGTAGTTTCATCTCGCAAGACAAGTGATGCGACAGTCCAGACAGAAGATTTTACAAATAACAAGACAAACTCGAGCACCTCTGTGGAAACAGCTCCAGTGATCTCAGAGGAAGTGGCAAGACTCACCCTCCTCAGAAAGATTACTACCACTTCAGGGGCTAACCTCGAGGATGGAGACACAGAAGGTTCCCTGAGGAGCACCATTGTCACAGGAATGTCAGACAGCCACGTGGGCGGGGTTGTCCATTTCCGCCAGGGATCACCCAGCAAGTCTGCCCGCGTCACTCCATTTAATTACATCCCCAGCCCCATGGCTTGCTGCCTGCAAGACACACAGAGCCAAGCAACCACAATCAATCAGAAGTCAGGGGAAAAAGGTGAATCATAGGACGTTTGGTGATTCTACTGTATGAAACTCGGCACTCAGGTGGACAGGTGAAGAGTGTGCTGGTCCCTATACCTCGGGTACTGACCCTTTACTTTCCCCATTCATTCCAATCAAGTTTATGTCTTTGGACAATTGATCACATCTTCCATCAACCATTAATACAGAGTTGGATGTATGCATTGAGACAGGTCTGACATGAACAGACTACCCACAACTTTGAGATGCACTTCAGAGAAAAGTCTCATGGAAAGAAAGTGCATCTTTTTGTACTTGTTTCTATTTGTAGAATAATCATTGCCTGGTAGAAATGTAGTGAAAACAAAAAGCAAAAGACATTTAACTTGATTGCAGCACATAAATCACCATCGGTCTCCTGGACAGAAGCGATAAAAGGAACATTATGCAAACTCTTGAATGATAACTCACAAGGGACTGCTACCTGGAAAAGGTACAAATTGTGGCGGACTGTTGACAAACTCTCACAAAGGACACAAATATGCTGACATGCAGTCAAGTTTTTTTTACATATAGCGCATCAGTACTTTGGGGCTTTGCCTCACCACTCAACTGAATATGGTCCTGTGACAAACAGAGCCCAGCAAGGTTGGGGTACATATTTGTTAAAACATTTCTTCAAATTAATAGTGATATCGTTTTTATTTTATTTGTCCTCACCTCCCCAAACTGTGGCTGTGGATATACTTTGGGTTTTAGAGTAAACACAAAGTTCAATTTACAGTCAGGGAAAAAAAATATTTGAACCCCAGCTGATTTTGTAAGTTTGCCCACTAACAAAGAAATGATCAGTCTACAAATTCAATGGTATGTTTATCATGTTTTTCATTCATGAAAATGCAAATTACTTTATAACTTTTTTTGTAATGCATTTTTCTGGATTTTTTGTTGTTGTGTCTCACTGTTCAAATAAGCATACCTATGAATTTGTAGACTGATCATTTCTTTGTTAGTGGGCAAACTTACAAAATCAGCTGGGGTTCAAATAATTTTTTTCCCTGACTGTATATAGAAAGATAATAGGTGGTACAGAAGTGAATGAGATTAAATTATTGTAGAGCACAAATGATTCATTTGAGAGATTCATTTGGGGGGGGTTAGTACCGTGGGGAGGAAACACTTCTAAACAATCTTTGCTTGATTTATCCAAATTTGTGCTAAATCTTGGTTAATGCAAATTTAAAGCTCTCAGACTACGTTGGAGCAGATCTTCACACAGGCATGCGCAACACTTGGTCTCCCCACATCAAGTATTGTCCTATCGCCCAGCCCTACTTGCAGGAATTAAATAGTTACACCTAGATGTCAACTTTCCACCTGGACACATACTGGACTCTGTTTCCATCACTGCTGCAGGAAATATTATAGCACATACTGTCACTTTCCAAACTACCAGCTCGCTTCACTTTCTCCCAAACTCTTTGTCTTCATCAGTATTGTAAATAACATGCAGGCACAGAAAATCTTCCAAGTGTCCCAGTGGGCCAAAGAACCTCGGTGTTGCTCCCTGACAGCATGCTCGTGTAATCACTGACTCTACACACTGCTGATAACATTGTGTACACTGGATGAGTGTTAAGTGAGAAAATACTTTCCAAAGCCCGACAAGAACATTACTAGCCATCTGTATTCATGTGCTGCAAAGACCTATAACACTATAAACTGTCAGCATAGATGAACAAAGTGACCACATGCCTCTGTTAATCCAATGCGATGACATATGTGTTTGCTACTAGATTCATGCACTCATTGCTGCTGAGTGTTTCCTGTCACAAAACAAAAAGATGACCTGATTCGGTGGTGGTCAGCAGGACAGTGTCCTTACAGAAGCTAACCTTGGGTAGTCTATATAAACATGTTAATATCTGCTTAACTGTGTTGCTGTAAAAGTAGCGATAGGTCGAGAAGTCACTGAATTAAAAGACGATGAGTATTCTCTGTAGTTGTACCGTCAGTCCTCTGTGTGTGCTCAGAGATCAGAGACGGAACACAGACTCGGACGCTGACGGGCTGTTTACTCATTACAGTATGGTTTTGTATCTACTACTGTTCCCACCCTACTGAGCCTCCAGAGCATGTTCTGAGTATGAATAAAATTCAAGTAGCTTTTGAATGCAAATCTTTAACACTGGCCATTTCCAGATGTTAAAGTAATCTTTTGAGTATCAAGCCCTTTTCCGTACAGGCTCAACTTAGAGTTTTGATAATTGTTTCATCATATCATTTAAAGCAAAGTTACAACTGTTTGCTGTTTCTAACTTCTCCGAGGTGAAGATTTGATGCTTTTCTTTGTCATACATGACACATTGAACTGATTTTGGATCATTTAACTGTGAATCTTTTGTCCCTTATCTTTCAGCCCTGATAAGTGCAGGACTGAAAGGTGTTGATTTAAACACAGTGTAGCCGAGTGGCTGATACTCAAAAGACAGGTGTTAGGTTTAGTGTCACTTTAACAGCTCGAACAAGACTAATTGGTTGAACGAGGAAAATGGAAGCTTGTCCACCTTCACTGTCGGTGGCCTCGTTCACGCCCGGCTGGAGACCAGTTTCTAGACTAAATCATGTCCACAAAAATGCAGAATTAGTTAAAACCTCTGCATTGGATGTTCATTTTGAATATTAAAAAAAGAACACACATAAGAGGAATTTAAACAATTAGGTCCCACATTTTCCATGTGTGAACAAGGTCACCGATGTTTGGTGGTGCCATGTGAAATAGGCAACAGAGGTGTGGCATAATAAATGTTTTCATCCAATAAAAGTGACGTGTTTCATTAAACCGCTGTGCTGACTCGTTCATGCAGACGCAGATGTGAAAAGTCTGGCATAAAACCAGAGTGAAGAGGCAAACACAGGAGCAAAAGAAGGAAGACAGTCTGATCAGCCTGTCTCTGTCACAGCAACATGTAAAATACTACTGCAGTAAAATTAAGCAAGCTGACAGCAGCTGTGTGAAGTCAGGTCTCTGAACCACTGCTGCACACACAGTCCAGCCTGCCAGGAGTCCAACCAGTCCTCAACAGCCACATCGCTGATCCATCAGGTGTCCAACATTCAACCACAGCGGATCTGACACAAATCCAGCTCAGTACTAAATCAGGGGCGACCAACTCAGGGTTAAACTGCGCAGTGTCTGCCTGGCTTAAAGATCGACTGAAGCTTCACTAAACCAAAAACGACAACTATCATTACATCCCACATATCACAGAGGTCGCTAGCTGTAAATACTTCTGGTCTAATGGTCAGAGTTTAAATCCCAGCTTCAGGCCATGTAATAACAGAACAGGCTTTACAACATGGGCTCTGATCAACAAAGCTCACTATTGCATCAGGTTTTGGATTTAAAGGACAAATTCACAGTTTTCCAAGTCTGTACTGCAGATCCCTTTCTGATGAGTTTTCAGTGTAAGTGACGGGAAACAGAACCCACAGTTCTGTGTAAGAATATACCACGGGTTCATGTGACGTCAACGAGGCTTTGGCAGTCAGACTTAGACAAGTGGACCTGTCAGAGTCCTTCTAGTCCAGAACGGCCTCAGTTTGTCCTCACTAAGCTGCAGTGAAGGGAGGGAAACAAAAAAGAGGGGAATTTGTAAATAAATAAACTCACTTTGAATAATTTACTTGATTTGTCCACTTTTGACTCCCAAAGTATTCACTTCAGATTAACTGTGAAATTAATGTTTGCACAAGACAAAGATGGTGGATTTAGTTCTCTGGCACAGCAGTGCAAGTAAGGAAGCTTTCCATGTCAGTCAGGACCAGTCCAGTAAACCTGATGTGCTACTCAGCATCCGGTGAACTGGTTGCTGCTGACGCTCACGGCGGTCGGCTGTTATCAGCGGTAACACAGGGCCGACTTCAGCATGTTGAACACCACAGAAACATTTTGACACTCAATTGCTCTGTTTTTGATGATGTCAGAGGCAAATGAGACAAAACAGTCAATAAGAGATTTGTTGACTGGGGAGTTTAACACATCCGGGCATTTTACCACTATGTGACCAGGGGGAATCCCACTGAGGTTCACCTCAAAACAAAACCCAGCCAGCTCTATAACCCCATACGACCTCATCTTCCCCCCTCAGGATGCAAATGCTTTCACAGAGCCCAGAGGATACACAAATCCCTGTCACTGGCAACAAACCTGGTTTGTACCAGACAGGACACGGAAACACTTTGGCACCTAGCAGGAGAAAAAACTGCTTGACATCACACCAAAAACTGAAACCTCTGCTACTTCAGAGGGGAAGGAATTCCCCACAAACCCTCGCTGACTCCAGCGACCAATCAGAGACCTGTTCTAAGATAAGAGACTGAAAGGGAGACCACTGCCCATACAATGCAGGATACTCCTTTTTCATTGTGGCTCCAATGCCCCCACTCTAGTTTAGGGCCCAGTTCTGGCCTGACGCACACAAACGAAACAACAGCCCTCTGGACTTATTATGGCCATTCTGATAGTCCTGTATGAACACATGATGCCAGGGCTAACTCACGTTGTAATTCTGTTCAAGATGGCACAACTGTGACAGCAATCCAGATCTCTCTGCTGGTTCAGAAGCCAAGGGAAGTTTAAATCCCTGAATAATGAATCTGTCTCCAGGGAAATTCTTGTGTGATCAATGCTGACACTAGTCGACCTCTGAAGACTAAATCCAGGTGGTACAGTGAAGTCATGTCAGATGAACGTACTGCATGTTCTGGACTGACATGAGATTGTCAACAATACTTTGTCGTCCAAACTGACTACAGCAACCAATCAAGTCAAATAAAGGAACATTGTGAAGAATAATGAAGGTACCTCTGTCAGAGCACAAGGCCTTAACTTCAAATATTACAATAGGAAATGTTTATCTTTGGCATTTCACTTGAATTAGCCTACATTTGGATATACAGTATATTTCACCCCGGGGTTAGACATCTCTTGTTAGGTGTGCTGATTCAGTGTTGACATAAAACCTTCTCAATGCAGCCAAATCTTTATTGTTTGCATTCTTGAATCATCTCTGCGCAGTGAATACCTCCACCATTTCTAACCAGGCACATTTACTGACATGTTGATGTATGCCACTACTGAGTAACAATTTTTCTTAATTATGAATTATTGGATAGGAGTTATCATTCCGTATCCTGCTAGTGTCCAATCTGTCTGATAATTACACTCCCTGCTGGATTCTTCAGTTAGAAAGTTAAAGTCCTCTAATCCCTCTGGGCGTGTCTGATACCAGAAGCCCAGAGATGCAGCCGCAACTCGATGGGAGAACAGATTTTGACAACAACGGCCCTGGTGCAAGGAAACAAATTGCAGACGCCACCAGCCTCATGGGCTACGGCGCTACACTGATCTGCCAGACGTCGATCATAATCACTGGCATGGAGGTACTTTGGCTTTGAAAAGACAGATGTTGCTCAAACGACAACAATCTGCAAACCAACCATGGCACAGGACATGAAAAACCTCAGGAGACGGCGGCCATCACGGGACACAAACACCCCCAGCAAACTGCAGCACAATCATTCTGCAAAAGTGATTTCAGTGTTTTTGTAGCGTTTTACTGTCACCCTTTAGTAAATCAGTATAGGAATGTTTCCATTAATAGCATTACTAAGCAACAATTAATATGCTATTAACAAGAGTGAGGTGGTGCAAGACTATCACATTTTTGAAGGATACAAAATATGGCCATCATCAACAAAATACCAGAAAATATCTCGGTATCATCAGACACTGTCACACACCCCCATTTAGCCCCTGGGTCCTCTGATGGAAGATACGATGACAGTTCGTGGAAGATTCACACAGACTGACCAAACACTCCACCGGTGACCGAACGGAGGGAAAAAGTGACGTCACGTCGAGTCCAAACACAGTTTAACTCTTTACAGCAACAAGTGCCGAGAGAACACGACCTGTTATAATCGCATCCGGTGAAATGGGCAGAGACCGATCGTTACAGACTGGAGGGCTCGCCACTTCCTGTCAGAACGCCACAAACTGTTTGGAGCTTTAATACTGAGGGGAAGAAAAAAAAAAGCAGTGGAAAGTAACCAAGTACATTTTCTCAAGTACTGAACTTAAGTATAATTTTGAGGTATCTGTACTTTGAGTATTTTCATTTTCTGTAACTTGCATCAACTTCACTACAACTCAGACAAAAATATTGCACTTTGTACTCACTACATTTACTTGATAACTTTAGTTACTAGTTACTTTTCAGAACGAGGTTAATAAAACAAATTATGGTATAATAAGATTTATTAATCCTAAAAAATTAAATTCACAAACTACCCAACAGTATGCAAAGTACTTTTAACATTATCTCCACCATTACCAGCAGCAGGCGTAAATGTGATGTACACATCAATACATCAATAATCAAAATCCAATAATGAAAAACTCTGCCATTCTTTATAACAAGTATTTTTATTTTTAGTACTTTAATTTAGATAACACTTTTGTACTTTTACATAAGTAACAGTTCAAATGCAGGATGTTTACTGAGTATTTTACACCGTGGTATTTGCTACTTTTATTTAAGTAAACTGAGTACTTCTACTACTGGAAAAAATAATCACCACTAAACACTCTGGTAATTTGTATTTTCTTTGATATGTAAGCTAACTAAATAGTTGGCATTTTTATCAACAACTTGCAATAGGTACGTGATATGTTATATTGATGACGTATAGTAACGTGCCAAGTTTGTGTACTGATAACAGACCAAAGCCAAACAATTAAAATCCCAGACAGAGAAGAAGAGGACAGTCTGTGACAGCAGGGGCACATCTCAAGTCTTTTATATGCATCCACGTTTCCCTCACTTGTGTCTTTTCATTGTGTTTTAGCCCCACCTACGCAAGATGTAAGGAAAAGATACAAGAAGAGAGGACTCAGGACACTCATTCCAAGAGACATCAGACGTCCCTTCCTCTGAAGCGTCCAATCACCAAGTGATTTCTGACAAAGGAGTGTGTCGGTCCATAGAAGACTTCCATGAAGGACGCATTCAGGTATCCTGGCTCACGGCTCCTCCAGCAGCCTCTGTGCTCCTCAGAGCAGACGTAAGAGTCTTGGGATGTCCTGGATCTGCGCTCAACCGGAACAAGTTCCAGGTCAAGCAAGGATCAAGAAACAATCATCTAAGAGACTTGGGATGTACCCCAGGTAGTGTAGAGTCAGAGTGGTTGACCTTTGACCTCTGCCACATCTCTGTCCAGCTGCTCCCCCGCCACCCTCAGCTCCTCCCTCTGTCGCAGCAGTTGGTCTCGAGCCTCCTGCAGCCGCTCACTCAGCTCCAGATACCGACGACACTGCTGGAACCTCAAGTCCACATCACTGTCTGAAGGCTGAGATGACCCTGAGCAGTGAGACAGGAGGCGAAACAAGGTCAGTACATGACAGGAGGTACAGGCAGCAAATGACACCATTTCCTTGATTTGTTAGTTCATAAGATGTGTAACATAATCGTCTGACAGCTGCAGCCCATCCCTCTCCTGCAGGTCCATGTGGATTTACTTTGTCCAGTCTGCTCCAGGATGCTGAAGACTGGATCGCTGGGAGCAGCTCGGCTGATGTCCTCCAGGATCTGGTCCACAGTGGGGGGGTTAGGACGGCTGGGCAGCACAACCCGCTTCTTATTTTTAGAGCCGATATTCATTCTGCTAAGGATCCAGCTCCACCTTCTGCATCTGAAACACAAACCATGTCCAGTTTCAGGCTTTTTACAGAGTAGGAAAGTATTGTTTTCACAGCTAAGATGTAAAAGTCTGCACACAACTTAAAAGACAGCTGCTGCAAATCAGTTGCAAACTGTCCCTCCGGGTTTTCTATGTTAAACTTGATAAAATCACACTAAATATCCACCTGTAATGTTAAACAATGATATCAGCTGTTACTACCATTTTGTGCTTACTTAGGTCCAATATTTACTTATAATAGACTCCCCATGTAGACCTCTATTCGTTTATCTTTGAAATTTCGATTTTATCAAGTGTCGATGAAAGCACGAATCAAGGAAAAACGGACTAAAGAATAACGCTATTTATGAATTACTACGTGTTACTCCTCAATTCGGCGTTGAGCAAATCAACCGACAAGTAACAAACAATCACTTTATACAACTTCAGCTTAGCAGTGTGTCTCAGTCATCATGCAGCACAACACGCCGAGGACAACGGTGCTAACGCTAGCTAGCTAAGTAAAACTTTTCAAAACCTAGCAATTTGTAGCAGCCCAGAGAAATACTTCTAAGCCGAATTTCAAAAAGTGTCATTAAAATTCACAAAAGCTAAAACATGGTGCTGTCTTCGGTCATGTCCACGTCTTGTTTAACCTTCCAAGCTGTTAAATGGAATTCGGCGTCATATTTTACGAGCCAGACTGATAAGCCGCAATTGCTTGTTGGTACTTACCAGCGTTTAGTCGTCCTTCTAAAATCTGCGTATGGGTCACAGCACTTGTCTAGCCTTCATGTTACAACTTAAACCGGACTAAAGGACAAAATAATGACCGAAGTCTGCTGATTAGCAAACACAAAAAGTCTAAGGTTCTACATAGTGCTGCTGCTGCTGCTTCTTCTTCTTCTTCTCCTTCTTCTTCTCCTTCTTTTTACTTCTTCTTCTGAGATTTTTTTTTTTTTTTTTTTTTTTTTTTTTTTTTTTTTTTTTTTTTTTTATCGGTTGGCAAACAAAGAATTGGTGCATCACCACCACCAACTGGTGAGGAGTGTGGGTCAAGAGTCTAGCGTTGACATATATTTTACAGAAAACCAAATCATATTCTCTCAATTAGCCTAGTTTCCTGATAGGTACTGAACGGCACGTCAACGTTTTACCTGCCTACGTTGACAGTGGATGCAAAGAAGCCACGCTCTCTGGTGGATCCATATGTTAATTTAAAATAATAATTAGAATACAGGGCAATAAGTTATTTGCTTTTAAGACAATGTTTTAATAGAATAAATAACAGAAATGATATATGCTGTGTTGGCTGTTTTCCACTATGAAACATGACAGATTCACGGACCTGTTCACAGACTAATTGTCCCACTGTTAGTCTACATATAATAAAAACATGATAAGAGATGCTGAACATTCAGCTGGGGCTGTGTGAACTTACACAGCAATGTGTGTGAGTGTTGAACATTTTGAGTGAGAAATTTGTGCTTATCCAGGAGTTTTAGCTGAGAGGAAAGATGAGCGAGGGTTCAATGATCAGTAAGAGATTCAACTCAGCATAGACACTTAAACAAACCACTGGACTTAACTCAGACATCACCGTAGGCATCACTGTGTTGTACTGGAAAACCTAAAACCACTTTTCCATGCCCTGGTACCAGCTCAACTCAAAAGTGTAGCTGGTTGTCATAGCGACACTGTATTGCACTGCCCTGATGTCATCAGCAACCGATACAGTAACAGCGGAGGACAGTGAAGGTATGCTGTTCTTGATACTCAGTATGTGGCCATTTTTAGTTCATACAGTAACTACAATAAAGTGGTAGTTAGCATTAAATAATGTTACTTTTAAAAATTGTGCTTTCTTTGTTCCAGGATGTCTCACACATTGATGATGTGATTTCTCTGACCAATCACTGGTCTGCAGTGTTTACATGTCACCGTTTGGTATCGTTTCTGCTCGCTTGGAACCTCGACAGAGGTGATATCAAAAATAGTACCAGGTACCAGGTCCTATGCCCAACATTTGACTGATGGAAAAACAAATAAGGAGAGTCGAGTCGAGCCGGTACCAGGCACTAGAGAAGGGGCTTAAAAGTGAAAAACAGGCCGTGGTAAATACAAAACTGTGGATTAATACATAACTGAAGGCCAAGTCAGATGTATGGGAGAGGTTCGGTGTGGCTACCAACAATGAGGACAGCGCTGCCAGCAGCTTTGTTGCTTGTAAACAGGGCCACAGAGTGTCAGCGTTTAATGGCCACACGCTGGGCACATCCTCACTGAGGGAACAGCTGCAGAGCCCAGGGGCCATACAGGCACATTTCCAAGAACACAACTCTCACTCACTTTAAAGTGAGTGAGAGTTGGGTCCAGTTTTCAAAACTGGACCCGAGCAGGACTCTGGTTCGCAGGTTGACACTGATGTTGCTGTTCCTTCCTTTGCTGAAGGTGATGTGATGAAATAGCTCCACCTGGTGGAGATGGGAGCTAAATATGAACCAGTTCCAGGTGCTTCACAAACTAACAAAACAAACATCAGTAAATATAAATGAACCAAATGGAAACAACAGTAGGAAACAACATGTGTAGGATCATCCAATTTTCTCTCACAGATTGGTATGGAAATGTAATACTTTATATAAAAACAGGAAATCAGTCTCTGACAAATGGTCTGAGAGCTGGGATCTGCTGGGATGAAGAGGAAAACCTTCGCTCTGTGCTCCTCTTCCTCACCGAGCCTCCTCCTCCTGTCTGCTGCTGTCTGACTGAAAAACAGGAAGAAGCTGCTGAAGTCAGAACAGCCTGGGGTAATGGATTGCTCTGTGGGTTTGTCATTTTCAAATAGTTTCCATCATCCATCCATCCATTTTCCTCCGCTTATCC